GGCTTCCCGTTACATCAAAGGAGCTCTATAGGATTGTGCAAAACTTGCATACCAAGAAGCAACTTCATCACGGCAGCAACTGACTACAGCTCTTGGGAAGAGATCCTTCGCAGCCTTGATATACTGGAGATCAGACGAGCAGTGGTGGGGGCAATAAGGGTTACGATTAATACCATGTTAACTTTATTTAGTTATACACTGCTTTCCTCCTCAACAGGGACCCAGAGCAGCTTACACATCTCCTTCTTTGCAGCCAACCTCCAGGTGTCAGCTGGAGATCTCCTGGGATTACAACCAATCTCCAGGCAACAGAGATCAGCTCACCTGGAGAAAATGGCCACTTTGGAGGGTGCATACCAAGAAGCAACTTCATCACGGCAGCAACTGACTACAGCTCTTGGGAAGAGATCCTTCGCAGCCTTGATATACTGGAGATCAGACGAGCAGTGGTGGGGGCCAGCCTCCCCCCCAATCTCCGGCTATTACCAACCCAGAGCTGGCAGCCCTACCACCACCACCTTGTGAAGCAGGTTAGATTGAACGAGTGACTGTCCCAAGGTCACCCAGCAGAATGGGGATTCAAACCTGGGTTATCCTGATCTAAATCAGGGTTAGAATGGATAAAAGGAAGTACTTCTTCACCCAAAGAGTGATTAACACATGGAATTCACTGCCACAGGAAGTGGTGGCGGCTACAAGCATGGACGGCTTCAAAAGGGAATTAGATAAGCATATGGAGCAGAGGTCCATCAGTGGCTATTAGCCACAAGGTATAGATAGGGGCTCTGGAGCAAGTGATGCTCTGTCTTCTTGGTGCTTGGGGGGGTCAACAGTGGGAGGGCTTCTACTGCCCTGGCCCCACTGCTGGACCTCCTGATGGCACCTAGTATTTTTGGCCACTGTGTGACAGTGTTGGACTGGATGGGCCTTTGGCCTGATCCAACATTGGCGTCTCTTATGTTCTTATGTTAAATCTGGCACTCTAAACAAACATACCACAACAAAAACACAAACATGATTACTGTGATTTTTAAAAAAATAATGGCTAAACAAAGCTATTCTGCTATACTGAGCTTATGAGTATTATCAACATTCCATAAAGAGCAGTCTTATGGCTAGTGGGACCCCACTATTCACCTCCCTCCATCGTGAGAACTGCCTGTTTAGTCCTACTCTCTGCTTCCTCCTGTTTAACAAACTTTACGTCCATAAAATGACTCACCCATGACTGCTAAACTTATTCAGTGTCCTTGGTGAAGCACTTTGTCAAAAGCCTTTTGGAAGTCCAAGTGCAGCATGTATTCCATATTGCCTTTACCTGGATGCTTGTTAACTTGCTCAAAGAACTCCGAGAGGTTGGAGAGACACGACTTTCCTTTGCAGAAGCTGTGTGGATTTTCCCTCATCAGGCTTTGCTCCTCGATGTGCTTAACAATTCTGGCTTTAATACATTTGCAGTAATTTACCTGGAACAAATTTTAGGCTAATTGGCCTGTAATTTCCTAGATCCCCCTCCGGAACCATTTTTGAAAACTTAGAACAGATAAAAGGAAACACTTGTTCACCCAAAGAGTAATTGACATGTGGAATTCACTGCTGCAGGAAGTGGTGGCAGCTACAAGCATAGACAACTTCAAGAGGGGACTGGATAAATGTATGGCGCAGAGGTTCATCAGTGGCTATTAACTACAAGGTATAGATGAAAGGCTGTCTGAGGTAGTGATGCTCTGTATTCTTGGTGCTTGGGGGGGGGGGGCACCGTGGGAGGGCTTCTAAAGTTCTTGCCTTTTTGGTAGACCTCCTGATGGCACCTGGGTTTTGGCCACTGTGTGTTGGACTGGATGGGCCATTGGCCTGATCCAGCATGGCTTTTATTTTGTGCTTATGATGACATTTGCTAGTTTTCTAGTCATCCAGCACAAGAGGTCAATTTTAACAAAAAGCTACGTGTACTTGTTAGTAGATCAACCGTTTTGCATTTAAGGACTTTTTCGGCCCTGCTACCCAAACACTTTTCAACTGCAGTTGCCAGGGACTGAACCTTAGACCTCTGAAATCCAAAGAACACGCTGTACCACTGTGTGCTTCCCTTTAGTTAGAATACGGAGGACCTGCACTAGAAACCCAACTTTGGCTCCCTCTAGTGGTTGAGACATCACCAAGCACTACAGGGATTTCCAAACCTTCAAAGCCATGAGTTGTTAACTTGCTAAATGCTGTTCCTGTGCTGCGGTTGCACAGAATGCAAAGTGCCCTGTGTGTATGTGCTTTGAGTAGAACTTTATAACTGAGTTTATGACACATATTAATTCCCCCCCCCCCCAGGGAGAGCTTACTTTAGGCTGAGCTGTGAGGTTTTCCATTGTTCTTTTGCCGCTGCACTACGGAAATAAAGGTCACTGCTCTCTATCTATGACGTCTCCCGCCAGATCCGCCGTCTAATGAGTATCACCCTTGAAACTATGGCTGCTACCTCTTTCTGCTTCAGCTAATAGCCGCCAAGCACGCTCAGGAGAACGGTCAGGTACTTCAGACAGCCTTTCTGTTCAGATCCCCATAAAAGCTCCTCCATTCCCATTCAAAACACAGGAAGGGGAGGAGGGGTGTAGATTATAAACTGAGTACAACTGGTAGCAGAAAAGGAAGAAAAAAACACCACAGTGAGGAAGCCACATTATAAAAAGCCATTCCAAAGAGACAGAACAGGTTTTCATGGGTGGCTTTTTGAGATACAATGGCTATGAAAATGGAGGTAGCTCATAATTTGATAGTCAGCTTGCACCACCCTGAAATCATATTAAAGCCTGTGCTTAAGAACATGACTGAGTTTGCCCACGTGAGTCAGAGACAGCAGGGGATGGGCTGTGGCTCACTGGTAGAGCATCTGCTTGGCATGCAGAAGGTCTGAGGTTCAATCCTCTGCATCTCCAGATAAAACAATTAGATAGAAGGTGATGTGAAAGACACATACCTGAGACCCTGGACAGCTGCTGCCAGCCTGGGTAGGTAATACTGACTTTGATGGTGCAATGCTTTGATTCGGTATAAGGCGGCTTCATGCATTCACTGCTGCCTTAATATAACACACAGCTGCTGGTTTCCCAATACAAGAAGGCATTTCCACTGGTCTTGTGGCCCTCTCTCACGGAAACACCACTGGGCAGATGTGGTCAACCTGCCATGCTTCACTCCATGGTCAAGCTCTTTCAGGGTCAGGGGAGGGTGGATAAACATGACCTTCCTGCCTGTGGTATGCTGTGAGCTTATGTCTAGAATGTGCTCCAGTGCTGTCCACTATTTTAACATGGAAGAGACTCCCATCACACAAAACCAACTTAGCTTTTATTATTTATTTGGTGTAGTGGTTAAGTGCGTTAACTCTAATCTGGGAGAACCGGGTTTTATTCCCCACTCCTCCACTTGCACCTGCTGGATGACCTTGGGCAAGCCATAACTCTGTCACAGCTGTCCTCTCAAGGACAGTTCTGGAAAGAGCTCTCTCAGCCCTACCTACCTCACAGGGTGTCTGTTGTGGGGAGGTGAAGGGAAAGGAGATTGTAAGCCACTCTGAGACACCTTTGGGTAGTGGAGGGAGGGGTATAAATCCAACCTCTTATTATTTACTTTAGTTATATCCTGCGTTCCTCCCCCAAGGGGACCCAAAGCGACTTACATCGTTCTCCTCTCCTCCATTTTATCCTCACAACAGCCCTGTGAGGTGGGCTAGGCTGAGAGTGTGAGACTGGCTCCAGGTCCCCCAGAGAATTTCCATGGCACAAGTAGGGATTCGAACCCGGGTCTCCCAGATATTAGTCCTACACTCTTAACCACTATACTAGACTGATGTGGGGATGTATGAGCATTTGTGGAGGCCTCTCTGCTCACTCTCCTTTCAATCAACAAGAAGGCAGCAGTCCTGTCACAGAGGTGCCTCCAAAGGGTGTGTGTGTGTCTAATAACACCCACATACTTCAGAGACTATCGCTTCCTACATAAGCCTGCTCAGGTACATTGAAAAAGAGGCGCTTTGGAGAGGGAACAAAGGACACTTGATTGCCCAACACCTCCCACTGTTGTTCTCATTAGTTCATTCCAGGTTTAGTATGGTTTTTGATCTCTCTAATTTGTTGTATTTTCAGTTGTGGTCTATTGTAAGTGGTTATGGGATGGTTTAGAAAAGGGTTACAGAGAGGAAACACGGGGCATCAAGAAATACTGAACATTCATCATGTTTAGCCATCTCATGCCTCACTTTTACTGACAGTCTTTAAATAAAGCCCAAAATTATTGAAGCAGGAAAGAAGTTCAAAGGGTGTGTTTCAAATTATTTACTCTCCTGTCCTTTCAGTGACAAGTAACATGAGATACAGCTCTGGGCCTCTGACACAAGCAAAACCCTTAAGGTATATATCAGGGTTCTTCCAGGTGGTTGGAAGCACGTTTTGATACTTGCTGCACGCGCACACACACACAAAACCAGAAAGGAAGCATTAGTCAACCCCATTATTCAAGCAGCTAAGGAAAAAATACAGCACATTTGACCTGATGACTATTGCTGATACTCAGTTCTGTGCATTCCAACATATATATGGAGATTAAAAAAAAGGCAAAGGTTCCCTTGCTCGAAAGCCAGTCGAGTCCGACTCTAGGGTTGCGGTGCTCATCTCCGTTTCAAAGCCGAAGAGCCAGCGCTGACCACGGAAATGTCTTCGGACATGTGGCCGGCCTGACTAAACACCAAGGCGCACGGAACGCTGTTACCTTCCCACTAAAGTGGTACCTATTTATCTACTTGCAATTTCTTGCTTTCGAACTGCTGGGTTGGCAGGAGCTGGAACTAGAGACGGGAGCTCACTCCGTCATGCAGCACACTTACGTCTCGAACTGCTGAATTACCGACCTTCCAGAGCCTGCAGTTCAGCGTCTTAACCACTTGAGCCACCGAAGCTCCTTTGGAGCTTTATTTATTTATTTATTTATTTACTTGGAGAAGTGGCCTATAAATTCAAATATAAAATGTATTTTAAAAATACTTGCAGAAGCCGTGAATGTTTACCTTTTGTGGTGGACAGAGACTGAGCTGGAGCCTTCTCAGTGGTGGCACCATGTTTACAGAACTCTGCCTTTGAGGTTTTCTGCATTTCTTTTCTCTGTATACAGGCACCCCAAGTGAAAACTTTTTGTTTATCGTCATTTGATTTAGTGCGTTTTGACTGTGACTTTGCCTTCCCTCTGCATTGTTTAACCCTTTTCAGCTGTCTTCTGACTTTATGACTGCTGATACAGATTTACAGTTTTGAGATTGAAACGATGGTGTGTACCTTGACAATTACGTTTTAAATTTGTCTTGATTTTAATGCATTTTGTGATGCTGCTTTAGTGTATGTTAAAGCCGCCTTGAATGTTAAAGAGGTGTGCTAAGATTTAAATATTTTAAATGAATAATGTAAAAATATAAATGAAATGGTTCTGGACACCAGCAATTGCTCAACTCTAATTAAAAATATCACATACAAGGTTTGTTTACAATGATGGAGGTGGGGGAAGGAGATGGCCCACATATTCTCCTTAGCACCTGAAATCCTGGTCTGGAAAAAAGAGCTCTGGCAGCAATAAGGAAAGAGTCACTGCAAACACCAGTCACATGATTAAAACATTGTCTCAAGACACCATGCTAGCTATAAATGTTACATCATGTCTCCATTGCAGGCAGTTCTTCTTTGAAGGAAATGAATTTTGGTGTCTAGTGTTTAATGCAAATATATAACTAACAGAGAACTTATGATACCCATTTACCCCTTAACTAATATAGGAGAAACTCAACTGGATATTATAATAGCATGAATAATGCATCCATTACAGCATGTTGATTTACAAGCAATGACACAGAAACCAAAAGATAAGAGCATAAGGACCATACCAATGGTCTATCTAGTCCAGTACACCTTCTAAAACTGTGGCCTACCAGAAGCGCCTAGAAAGCCAACGCTTCCCTGTTGCCCCAAGTCACTGGTCTGCAGAGGTATACTGCCACTGAACATGGAGGTCCAATGAAGTAACCATGGCTAAAACCCATTGATGGGCCTATCATCCATGAATTTAAATCAACGGCCAGCACTACAACCCGTGGCATTAAATTTCGCAAGTTAATTACACAAGAATGAAGAGTTCAATATCTGCATTTACTTGGTCCCAATTACTTTATACCATATGATATTGGATTTAAAAGATGGTGTTCACTTTACAGTCTTACAGAATAAGCTTGCAGTTCGAAATGACTACAAGTCCATTTGCATCAAATGTAGGAAAGTGACAGAAAAATTGGCCTTTAATAGTATTCAGGAAGCTGCCAGTTAATTTAGCCTAAATGAAAGATCTGTTCTTACCTAACACCTCACAATGACTACAGAAACAGGGTACAATTCTACCAGCCACTGCAGCTTTGGCCATTTCTACTGGACTTGGAAGGAGAGCTTTGCACAATGAAATAAGCAATGGCTTTGGAACAGAAGGGCCTACTGGATAACACCCTAGTCCCATCATGGGAAGTGAAGAAGAGGCCTTCATCCCAGTGCCACAATCAACTACACTAAGAGCCAGCAGAGTGAAAATACCTGTAAACACTATCACTCTGTTTGCTCAATTCCAGGATCCAATGGTATCTACCTGTTTTTTTGGACCCACTGTCTGATGTACTTTCTCCATGAATTCAAGAGCTGCAGAAGCACGAGTGTCTAATATTATTTAGAAGCAGCAAGAGACTAACGTCTGGGCCTGCAAAACAGACAGGAAACACTGCTGTGCTGCTGAGGAGCAGACCACTTTTCATTCAAGCTGCTGAACAAGGTGATAATGGAAAACAATATTACTGCTATGCTGACATTAAAAAGAGCAGGTGAAGAGTGTCAACACAAAACAAGCACATCTGTTCAAAGCATGTTGTTGGTCTCAGCATCCAACATACACTTGTGGATCTGGAATACCGTCATCAAAGTCAATGTTATTCTTAAACAATCAACCATGTCTTGAGAGACTAAATGTCAGATGGAGAAACATTTTAAAGTGCCCCATCATTCTTGGAAACAAACAGGAACCATTGCATTTGACAAGCTCTGTCCTTTAGATGGCAGGATATCTGATGCTCAGAACTGCCACACAGAAACATATTATAAACAGATGGGATTTATGACTTTGTGGATTCTTAAACTGATGGACAGAACACACAACGTCATCACTTTCCTTTCAGGAAAGGAATGGAAAGAGTAATGTCAGTCAAGGCTCTTGTAGTTCATGCTACACCTAAAACAAAAAAGGAAAGAAATCTATGTCACGTTCATCCATTTGCAATCCAGAATCTATTACTGGAAACATCTGAAATTATCAGCCCACCAGTTTCATTTTATGAATTGTCCAGATGTGGATCCAGAAGTCGTTCTCGGCAGCTTAATGGAAAGACAACCAAACAAATCCACTGAAATCCATTTGTAGGAACAAAAACGAACATTCCTTCTGACTTACTCCATGACTCTTCTTGCCAACAGGCAACTCCTGCATTTGATGAATTCACAGCTACTGTTAGGCAAAGCAGCAAATATTGTACCACTCACAAAAGTGAGACTTCTTGAAATTTAGTCCTTAACCTCTACACATCTTTACAATGTACTCTTTAAGGCTGCACTCCACCTGCCAAGTGTTCTCTTACATGACAGCATGCCATGCTGACTTCAGTCCTGCTTGCCTTCACGCCACTGCCGTGAGCCTTCGTTCCATGCAACGTAGACAAAAAGGGCAAGCACAAAGTGAACAGCAACCACAGCAACTATAGCAGCATAAAAATAGCTGTCTCTGTTGGACATTCCCAGGGTGCCTGAAACAGACAGGCAAAAATTGACATCAATGAGGATTGAGTAAAATACTGGTACAGTGTTAAGGCCCAAGTCACCTTTTCAGAGACAAAGGGCTATTCAATGAACTCGCTTATTTTTACATTTATTTTAGTGCTTTTTCATTCCACCCTTCCTCCAACAAGCCCAGGATTGTGTACACTGCTCTCCTTTCCTCTACTTTACCCTCACCACATCCCTGTGAAGCTGGTTAGGCTGAGACAGAGTGACTGGGCCAAGGTCAACCAGCAAACTTCATGGCAGAGGAGGGATTTGAACCTGGGTCTTCCAGATCCTAGGTCAACACTGCAGCTTCTCCGTCATGGCAAAGAGGCAATTGAGACCTGTGGCATGGCATCTGCCCCCCTCTATCTTACAGGTACCTTCAAAACCTGAGCATGCTTAAAGCTGGGAGCCAAAGGGTGAGAGTGAAAGGGTTCTTCGCTCTTAGCATGGGGCTCGCAGCCTTGCTAGCTGAGTGTGTCTTTAAGAGACCAGAACATCATCAACTTGGTCCAGCCGGCAACGAGACTTTACTGTCTGAACAGTGTCAAGGGAAGGAAATTTTTTTACCATCTAACATGGCTACCGTTCTGGAATTTGTTCTCTAAAGAACATTTTTTGAGATCATCCTTTAAAAAGAAATTCTGTATTCTTTCTTGCTATTTTCCCTGCCTATTTAAACTGCTTTTTGGGGGGCGTTTTTAAGTGTAGTTTTGCATTTTCTGTAAACCACAGAAAGGCACAGTAAAAAGGCCTAAATAAATATCTGATGAAGTGACCCCAAGCCCATGAAAGCTTATACTACAATAAATTTATTAGTCTTTATTGTGCCACAGCACTTCTCTTTTGTTTTAAATTCAGTCACATTCATAGATTTCTCATACTCACTTCAGCCAATTTGGAAAGTTAGTATAGAGTTCCTCTTTACAAAACATACATTCAGGAAGTTGGATCGCCTGAAAGTTCAGTTCTTTTCTTATGAGAGAACACATTCATTCCTTTTAACTATGCTGATGATTTAACAAATCCTTCTCTTTTGTTATTTTGCAAAAATATTTACCATAATGACTGGTACAATTCAGACCAAGTTATAAAAATGCATGGCTAGTACATGCCGTTGTAATAAAGTTATTGTGAATCACCCAGTTCCTTTAATGCAGCGAGTTCCTTAAAAAGATAATTACCTTCAAATACATACACCTTAGATGAGAAATAAAGTCCAATGGGCAGCAAAATCATTAATGTTGTGAAGAAGAGTAGTGTCCTTAGAGTGGCTGCTAATGAACCTTCAGTTCTGCAAGGAGTAAATCACACAGAGAAAATAAGTAATCAACAGAACATTCCATAACAATTGTACAAGTCATCAATGGGTTATTTCAAAGATAACCTAAAGCTTTTCTTTTACTTGTGACTTTTGAAAAAAAGCCCTAGAAAATGCTAGTGATCAGCTCAGCACCAGAAATCATATCTGACAGGAATAATACCTGATGGACAGTGTCTTTATTGAATAAAAAATTAAGCTAATGCACATAGTACGACTACGAGACAAATATAAAATGTGGTTTAATTTAATGAACACGGAGTAACTCTTTGAAAAGTTATGCAACGTTACAAAGAGGATCACATTTACCCTAATATTATATTCCAGGTAGATATTAGAACCAGAATTGCTTAGTTACACACTGCAAAAATGAACATAACCAAACAACTCTCTATGGGTCAATTACTGGTTAATATAATTACTTCTTTGCCAATATATTTAAGACTTGATCATTTGTGTTTTAATGAGGATACATTTTAACACAAAAAAACCCCCTTAAGTACATAAGAAGAACATAAGAGTAGCCATGTTAGATCAGGCCAATGGACTACATAGTCCAACACCCTGTGTCACACGGTGGCAAAAACCCAGGTGTCATCAAGAGGTCTACCAGTGGGGCCGGAACACCAGAAGCCTTCCCACTACTGCCCCCCAAGCACCAAGAATACAGAGAATCACTGCCCTGGATAGTTTTCTACATTGTGGCTAATAGCCACTGATGGACCTCCGCTCCACATGTTTATGCAATCCCCTCTTGAAGCTGTCTATGCTTTTATCCTCCACCACTTCCCCTGGCAGTAAATTCCATGTGTTAATTACTTTTTGGTGAAGACAGAAACATTTCCTTTTATTTGTTCTAAGCCTAAGGCTCATTAATTTCATGGAGTGCTCATGAGTTCTTGTATTGCGAGAAAGGAAAAAAGTACTTGTTTCTCTACCTGCTCGTACTTTTTTCTCTACCTGCTCTATCCCTATCCCATGCATAATTTTATAAACTTCTATGATGTTACCCCTTAATTGTTCTTTCTCCAAGCTAAAAAACCTTAACCTCTTTAACCTTTCTTCATAGGGAAGGTGTTCCGTCCTTTAAACGTTTTAATTGCCCTTTTTTGCACCTTTTCCAATGCTATAATATCTTCTTTGAGGTACAGTGACCAGAATGGTACACAGTATTCCAAATGAGGCCACACCATAGGTTTATACGTGGGCATTACAATACTGGCTGATTTATTTTCAATCCCTTTCCTAATACTTCCCCGCATAGTATTTGGCTTTACAGATAATGTTAATCTCTTAAGACAAAAGAAGCCACAATGATTGTATCATGATCACACAATATAACTATCCCAACTCAGAAATCCTTGTGTGCTGCACATACAGATATCTTGAATGGCAGAGACACATTCATTAACTGCAACTGAGGGACCAAGCTGCATGTATAAAGCCATATTTTTGCAGTTCAGCTCCTTATACCAAAATGAACAGGAAAATCATTTTGAGGACATGCATACTGGAGAGCTTGCACCTGCTACAAACTGCAGGAACAGGCCAATTACAGACAACTTGAACACAGAGTTTTGTTGATTATGAACTTACTGAGATTGTATGCAGGAACAACAGACTTATTTTGGTTTTCAGTTACTTCAGTTTGTATGACATTTGTTAACCACTACAATACTAACATTAGGAGGCACACTTTTTACAGAGAAAAATCCTTTAAAACTAGGTAGGCCAGTTATAACATACCTACACAGGTTTCTACTGGCTGCTATGTGCTTTGTTTAGATATTTATACCAAAATAAAATAACCTAGTTAAGCCTGAATTTCAAAAACTGCAGGACTCAACCAGTACTTTTAAGACAGTAAAAACTGGTCCATGTTGGTAGCTCTCTACTTTCACATGGAACTGAAGGACAAACACTGTTTGCTCCTTAGTATCTAAACAACACCTTGAAGAGCTCTAGCTCAACAAACTCTCCCACCTCATCAATATTCATTTATTTTGGTGGCAACAAAGTTAATTTGCACCAGTTTTATATCTGAGGCTCAAACAATATATGGCACCTATTTAAAGCCAAAGCTGGATCTAATTTTTCTGAAGAGTCAAGGAAAGTTTTACTCTTCCCATACCTGCCACTTCCTTCCCCATAGCCCACTCACCCCTTACTTTCAGTATGAAAAAAAAATTGACATTGGCAGAGAGACTGCAGGGAAGGAAGCTCAGAGCCAGGGGGTGGAGGTGGAGAGAGAAGAGCAACGGCTTGGGCACTTTCGTCTCAAAAATCACCCTCACACTGGTATGTGATCGGGACCAGTGTTCCCTTTAAGCTGAGTTAGTGTGAGCTAGCTCACAGTTTTTTAGACTCTGGCTCACACATTTTTGTCTTAGCTCAGGAAGGATGGCTCCAGAACAAACTAATTTATGCAGCAGCCAAATCTCCTGCTCACAGCTTTAATGCCAATAGCTCACAAAGTTGAATTTTTGCTCACAGGGCTCCATAGCTTAGAGGGAACATTGGTCGGGACAGTCCCGGATTTAAACAGAACACTCTGCAGCTCTCACAATATTTTCAATCCGGTCGACTTCAGACACGCAGCAGAACCGAAGCTCTCCCTCCCCCCCATACACACACGCGCCTAAAGCTTTGTCACTTCAGACTGCAAGGGGAAGGTGGTACAATGAAATGGCAATGCTACATACACACTCACAAGCACCGTTGCACATTAAAACCGGAAAGATCAGAGCTGTCCCTGCCAAGCGAGCCACCTATGTGTAGGGAGGCTGCACACGACCCCGGCCCCCCCTTACCGAGGCTCAGGCGGGGCGAGCGCGTTCAGCGCCGTTTTATCGTATCGCTCCATAACGGCCACGAGACAAAACGATTCTCCTTCGAACTCCTACAAGGAGAATGGGGGGAAAGGGGAAGAGAAACTAACTAAATCTACTCTTCCGGTCAGCTGACAATACTCCCTCCCGGCCTTCGTGGGGTCACTGTCATCATGTGACGCAGGCTGAACGGAAAGGCCGGTCAGCTGACAATACTCCCTCCCGGCCTCCGTGGGGTCACTGTCATGTGACGCAGGCTGAACGGAAAGGAGAGTCTCGCTGTCTGAAATTCCTAGACGGACCCAAAAACGCATCTTGACGTTTCATCAGTGAAGCCGGCATGTTCAGGCCGAAGCAGCGAAATTCACACTCGTCCAGGCTCCTCCCTGTTCCTTCTACACAAACGTGTTATTTAGCCTATTTTCTGTCTTGCAACTTGGCGGAAAACATTTCTGAGGGTTGAATATAAACAAAAGGTGCATGGATGAAGTGAATTAGGCAGCCAGAGGAAATTCAGTGCTTTTAGATGTGTATTATGTCGTCTTCTGTAGGCGTGAGTAGATCCCACAGGTTGTTGGATATTGCAGGACTATAATCGGTCAAGGATATTGCAGGTCTATAATCAGGTTGTTGGATATTGCAGGACTACAATCGGTCAAAGAATAAGGACATGTGGGTCCTGCCTGTGACACTGATATTCGGCATTATACACAAGATGACTCACAAGAAAGTTTTACAGTGTAAATATGCGTATATGGCTCTAGCTATTTTGAAAGGCAAAAAAGAGGACATATTTCCCAACTGACTACTTCAAACAAGTGATCACAATGTCACATTTCATTCTAAACACCCCTACTATTTAAACTGTGATAATTGCTACTAATTAGTGTGGTAGAAGCCCCCTTAATAAGGACCCCCTCCCTTCAAAGGCCCTGCCCCTTGCCGGCAGACCACACCGAGGCAAAATGATCAGAGAAGGATTTTATTTCTCTGCAGAGAAATTTACACTGAAGAGCCCCCAAGATAGCATTACAAAATCTTAAATACCTGTTAGATTGATACAGTCATGTAATAACCCAACCTATTAATTAATATTGATAGTGTTATTCTGATGTATCTAAATCAATGCCCCTCAGATGATTTCCCCATGTTAATTAAATTTTTAGATGTCTATACTTGGGGAATGGGAGGGCTTCTAGTGTCCTGGCCCCACTGATGTACCTCCTGACCTGATTTGTTGTTGTTCAGTCGCACAGTCGAGTCTGACTCTTCGCGACCCCATGGACCAGATCCTGCCAGGCCCTCCTGTCTTCCGCCGTCCTCTGAAGTTTGCACTGCTCAAATAGTCCTTTCTCTGCCTGAGACCTTGGACATCTGTTTCCCATTAATTCCTCGCGAGGGGTTGTTTCTGCTCCTGCAGGGCTGGGTAAATCTCTACGTCGGCTGGCGCCGCCAGTCTCCGGTTCACGGAGAAACGTTCCCTGGCCTCCCTCAGCCCCGGGGCGGCGCGCATGAATTCCTCGTGCCAAAATCCGCCCCTCGTTGCTGGCACTGACTCTCACCCTCTCTCTCTAGCATGCTCTCTTTAGTCCCCCCCTACGCCCCCCCCCCCCTTGCCGGCATGCTGATGCTCTGCAGGAAGGTCTGGTGCTTCAAGGACTGAGCCCGCCACCGCTGCCCTCATGGGTGCAGGAATGTCCAGCTTCAGCCACGGTGGGTTCTTCCTCTGCAAACCGCTGGTGCTGTCCCGTCGCACTTTGGACATCCTCCCACCTGCTGGGGCTGCAACAGAGGTGCCCCCTCCCGCCCAGTACCCCCACACCTCCTGGTCCTCCCGTGCCCTGCGCGCCCTCCCTCGCACTCTGCTGTGCACACACGCTCCTCCTCCACCGGCCCCGATCCGCGATGCCGATGGACAGTAGCTCTAGGTCCACCTAAATGGTCTCAAGCAATCTCAAACCACCTCTACTTCCAGGTAACAAGGCAGGAATGGGGCATGTAGGTTAGGAACTTATTTTCAAAGCTTGGATGAATGTTGATGGTGAAATATTTTGATTTCAATAAGAGGCACTAATTTCAGTTCTGTTTAGGGAACAATCCCAAGCAGGTCTGCTCAAAAGTAAGTCCCATTTTATTCAATGTGGCTTACTCCCAGGGAGTGTTTTTAGGATTGCAGCTCTAGTTGCTTAAAATCATTGATCACTGCAAAACAGTATTCATGCTAAGTATACAAAAGAAGTATTCTCCTTAAAAAGATCAGTAA